CGCAGCAAGAGGGCTGACCCATTCATCAGATTTTCTCGAAATTACTTAAGTGTTTGAGGCTCCGTTCCTATGCAAATACCGGGAAAGAATATACACAAACACCATTTTCCTTCCCTCTCATGTTTGTTTTCCCAAACAGGATGAGAGGAACACAAAAGAGAATTGTTCATTGAGGATTAAAACAGAAACAGTGCCACATAAGAATTTAGGGATCTCATAAGGAAGGAACACTGGGCTGATTGCACCAGACAATGAACACATTCTCTGTTGGATACTATTTTTTCTATTAGAAGCAGAAGGCGCAGGGGCAGCCTGAGGGTCCATTTAATATATGAGCAACATTTTTTCAGAGGAATTATTTCACTGCAGCTAAAAAGTGGTTCATTTGTTGAATTAAAACGAGAATTGTTAATCATGCATAAGCAAGTAGCAGGCTAGGATTTGTACCTTGGACCCATCTTTTATCCCAATACTGTGATATCTGCTTCACTCACATGGCACTCTCTCCAATATGTCTCTTGGGTGCTATTATTCCCTTTTACTTACCATTTTCAGTGATAGCTGCTTCCTGGGGGGACTGACTTATTTGTGCGCTTATTTAGTGACATAAAACTTGATAGCTCACCATGGAGATTGGGTTTAAAGTGAGAGAACTATTTTGGCAAACCTTTTTTTTTTCACCTTTATCTCAAATGGGGGAGAGGAGGATGTAGAAAATTTGCAGACAGCTATGAAACATCATCCAATCTTGATTTTCAAACCTGTATTTTGGCTGGCTGTAAATATATTTATCAGACTTTTGTCAAAAACTGAAGATTGGCACAGTGGCATGGATGAATGAGGAACTAAAACTATAAATATATGCAACTCCACTGAGCATATAAATGCATTGGCCTCTACGAGAAGCTTAATTACCTCCACAAAGAAATCTGCATTCTTGAACAGCAGCTCAGCCGCCTGACCTCTTTCAACTTCCTTCCACAATTGCTTTCTTAGGCTGCTTATGTCATACACTCAAGTTAAAAACACAAATGATAAAATGAATGTTGGTTTTTTGTTTCAGCCGCTGCTACTTTTCTCATAACAATCATCACTGACACAAGACACTAATTTGCATTGTAAACATAGTATACCAATTTATTGTGTGTGGCCAACATGCAGTAATGTGTCTTCCTCTATAATGCTTGCCATGTAAAGATGTCAGTATCTGATAGGGCTGTGCAGTGCTTTGGATTTGATGAAAAAAGGATGCTTTGGAAAGCATCTTGTGCCAAAAGTAGCACATATCTACAACTCTTTAAAGCAGTTGTGTTTTGTCTGGGATTGTGCAGCTGCTTTCCACAGCTGCCACTGGAGAAGAGCTACAGAGAACAGCTGTTCATACCTTTTGTGCTCACAAAATACTTTTATGGAATTGAACCAAAGCTCTGTGTGGCCCTAACATTCAAACCGAAGCCTTAAAAATGTAAGAGGATAAACTATGTTAAAAGAGCAAAGGTTAAAGAAGGCAGAAAGGAGAAGAAACTACTGCAACTTTTTTCAACTGGATGTCCTTCCAACATTTTGTCTGTTTTTCATCATATATTGATGATATTAATGTTTTTTAATGTTTAATATACTGTAATCTGCCCACAGCAATTTGAAATGAGATGGGCAGCAAATAAATTTAATAAATAAATAACATACTGACTGCGATGTCCACCATCCTCAACTAGCATGGCAAAGGAAAAGCTGAATTACACTATTTGTGTATTGCTACAAGCCACCAAGGGAGTGGCTTTTTCCTAATGTATAGATCAAGCCCATGCTTGAGTGTGTTTTACCGCACCCCATTTTTTTCATGCAAAAGAGTTTGATTTTCAACTGTTGCTTACAAGACAACTTTCCCATGTAGCCATTGAATTGCCTTGATTTTACCCCCCCCCCCCTCAAAATAGCCTTGCAGATTTGCTCCCTGCTGCCCAGTTATGCTTTTCTCTGAGTGCCTTCACCGTGCCTGGCCAATATCAACCCAGCATCAAGCAATCTGATACTCTAGGGGTGGGTGGGGAGTATGGAGGAGAAGCAAATTTGTGGCTCTAAACACAATTGACTATAGACTTGGTTAAAAAAATATTAAGCATCTCATAACCAGCAGGAGCTGGCCAAGAACTGGCTATCAGAGGCACCAAGCAAAAAAATAGAATAAAAACAAATACGAATGCAACACACGATTGCCCAGTCCCTGAGATAGGTATGTTTTCTGTAAATTTTCTAAAGTTGGAGACTGTATATTAAAAGACAACTCCAAATCATCTTGTTAAGGTTTACCTACTAAGAGGAGCCAGTTGCTTTGTGAGTTTACTCACATCAGCATCTTGATAATAGCAAAACTGCTGAGTAGCAGTGAACATTATAGCTGAGCCAAAGTAGTAAAATATGATTCTGAATATTTATATACATAGCACAACAGTAACAGTAACAGCAACAGAAATGATTCCCAGTTGCCTGCTACATTTGGGCCAAAAATTTCCCGTGGCTTAGTTCCAGAAGAGGGAATGTTTTTGTTTTGGTGGAGTGAGACTAACCTAGGATTTGGCCCCTTAAAGGTAAATGGGAGGTCATCAAAACTCTAGAGCCTGCTGGGCTGGCTGAGCTATTCAATCTCTTACTCCATCTACTGTTTCTGTGTCCCAGGGAGCATGCTGAAAAGCTGAGGAGCTGACAGACAAGGAAGCCAGGCCTTGGAGTTAGGGAACAGTTCTGCTTTCAAATCTGTAAAATCAGTATCAAAGTACTGATGTAGAGAGGTCTCAGTATGCCTCAGCTATGGGCAATGTATGACTGCCACTTTGTTATTTAAAAGTAAAGAAAAGTCAGAGAAGCGTATTGGATTAATGCCGACGGAGCACTTTCGGGATCCAGGAAAGATTAAACCGAAGGCTGGATGCATTGGCTAGGGAATGGGATATCAGGGGGCATTCAATTGCTGGAAGCAATGAATGCAACATTTTGAAATGGATGCAAAAGGGGATTAGGCAAAAGCATAGGGAAAACCTATGGATCAGTGGGCAGATAACAAGCCGGGAATAAAAAAAGGGTTTCCTATTTTGCTTTCTCCATGTATCTCATCCATATTCTCCATGTATCCATCCATCTTATGGCATGCTGGCTGGGGAATTCTGAGAGTTGAAGTTCACATATCTTAAAGTTGCCAAGTTTAAAAACACTGGTTTATCCCAAAGGAATGATTAAGTAGGACAGCCAAGTTTGTATTTTTGTTGTAAAAGAAAAAAAAAAGAATCCTTGTTAAGCCATTTTTTTTGGTTGTTGATGGTGTTTAAGCGGCCGCTCTTTCAAAGGAAACCTTGTTCTTTTTTCTTCTTAGAGATTGCTATCCCACAACTTCTGCGGTTCAAAATACAAGAACAACATCAAGGGTAATAAGGAGCAGAAAAAGGGCCTCACCTTATTTGGGTGCCAGAAAAGTTTCCCTGGGGAAATAATTCTAAAACCAGGATGGCCATGACTGTCTGCTCTAGGAGAACACCCAGAAGTGCCTCCACAGATGAACCCCCCCCTCCCATGTAGGAGTGTTGGATATGGCTGTCCCATATCCCAAACAGCTCAGCCTTCCCATCTCACGTGGAACCCAGTAGCTCTATAAGCACAGCCCGTGTTTATCCATAAGAGAAGAAATCATTAAGCAATGAGTTATTACACAATGTTCAGCATGGAAAAATCAGCAATATAAAAGAGCCAGTCTGGTCTAGTGATTAAGGTATCAGGCTAGAAAGCAGATGATTGTGAACTCAAAGCCAGCTGGGTGGCTTTGGGCCGGTCATTCTATCTCAGCCTAACCCATCTTATAAGGTTGTTATTCTGGGGAAAACAGAAGGAAGAAGTTGCATAGGCCATGTTCATGACCTTGAGTTATTGTAAAAATAATAAAGGCAGGAAACAAACAAACAAATAAATAAGCAAGCAAGCAAAATATGTGATCTTAGTAGCCCATTATATTATGTAATCAGGAAACGGCAAAACCAAATGTTTTAAAAAATAAAAATATAGTTTATTAAATTCAGTTTAGTGCCTGTGAACCTATACATTGTTACACATGGACATTTGGGCTCTGCTTAACAAGTAAGATTGCTTCGGGGGGGGGGGCTAAAACAACGTGTAAGTGACCAGTAACATATATTTTCATTCACTTGAACTTTAGCAGGAAATGAATATAAAGCTCACATTTCAGTGCCTAGTTGAGCATCCTGGGACAATTGATTAGTTGATAATAAATGTCTGTCATCAGGCAATAAATCATACATTCAGGAAATGATAAAGAAAGCCTTTTTTGTCTGCTGACAGACATTTGCAGGGAAAACTTTTTATTTTCAGTTCAAAGAAAGGCAAGTTCTCTCTCTCAGCTTTCTTCCTGGAGTATAGCATTTCCCTTGCAGAATGATTGTGTAAAGGCATTTTCCCCGTGAGCATTTTTAATGAAAGTGCAGTTTAGTGTTTTTGACATCTACAGGAGGGTAGCTGATTTACAGTCATTGAGAAACTGACCATGACCAAATTGGAAAAGATATTAAATGCATTTTGAAAGCTTGAGCTCCAAGTGTAAAATAAAATATTGCCAACCTACCATTGACACACATGTTCCAAATTGCCTCTTGATCAGGTACCACTTTTTTTTTTTAAACAGTGTCAGATATTTCAATATAGGTTGCTTTGGGCCTCAGGATTGCTATAGCAAAAGGAAAACTATAAAATTTAAATATTTGGGTAATTATTTCCTTTAATGTATACTTTATAAGGATTATAATCTACACATCAGCTTTGACCATTGCAATGTATTTGGGATATATTTAGACCACAACACTCAAAAATTCTCAGGCAGTGTGCCCAGAAGCTAGGAGCTACAGGCCTAAGACATCTGGAGGGCATGATCTTAGAGAAGGCTGATATACGGCTTGAGAATAAATCAGTCTAACAGCCAGTAAAGGCCAGTTTATTACTGTATTTCATTTTGCAAAACTTACTCATCTTATTCCAAATACTTAAACTGTATGACTTGATACAAATCTTTATACAGCAGATATTAAAAAGTTAGGCTTTCAATGATTTGACAAGGTTGATAAAGAAAAGGTATTTATTGCAATTGAAAAGGAAATTAATACTTGAAAATAACTATCCATCTCACATATTTAATAAGGCTAAAGTCTTTAGGGAAGAATTGCTAATATAGAGTGATATTTATAAATTTTCCTACATACAATATAGAGAAAAAGCTAGTCAACAGGAATTGCATCAGTAGCAACTACTTCCATAAGGAAGTTAATTATGGGCATGGCTATATCACAGATCGAATCTGGTAGAAAGCCCATAAGGGATCTTGGAAATGTGAAGGAATCTAGAAACATGGAACAATGATTTGTACACACCTTTTGCAAATTGTAATTTCCAACATTCTTTGGGAAAAGCCATGATTCTAAATTGATTATCTAGCATGGATTTGCAGTGTAGCAGTACCATGAGCTAAAAACAGGACATGGCCAGAGATAGTGTAATGAAGTAGAAAATGCCTATTTGTTTTAAATAGGTTTAATATATCTAATTGTGAGTTTTAAGACTTAAACTTGTATTTGGATCACTATGTATTTCTAATCAAATTAATTGACCTTGTCGGTACAGATAGTATTAAAGTACTAAAATCCGGGTATTTGAGGGAACGTTGGGAACATGTAGGAAAGTCCATGTGTTAAAGTCCTTGTATAGTTTCAGATGTGAAACTGGCATATGTGAATGTAGTGCTCTTGAGATTTGTTAGTACTTAACTAAGGAAAATCATAATAATGGAACAATTAGACAGACTTAGCTCAACACATTAGCAAAAAATTGTACAGCCACATACAATGAAAGGAAATACGTTCCAAACAAGAAGAAAGGCAGCATTATTAGATTTACAATGCTTTTGGACATATAGTGATGTATTTGGGTTATGTCAAATATATCCAGTGGAAGCAATAAAATATGAATAATTTTTAAAATACAGTAATACGGGTAAATGCTAAAATATCATGCACTTTTTTACTTTATATTTCACTTTTGCATCAATTTATTTTTGATTAGGTATGCCACACTAAAACAAATAACTGAAAATATATATTTCTGAGACATTCTCAATCATTCTTTGCCCATCAATCTGAGCTAGCATAGTACATTAGACAGGAAAAGCTTACAGGGCCTGATAAAAGCTGCTTCGAGTTTCAGCCATACTTAGCTTTCTCTGCAGCCAGAGCCAGCCTGCGGATGTTTGCTATGCAACCAGCTGCTGCTTCCTGAAGAGTTTCATCCGTAGAGCCTGCCATACCCAGCAGAAGCTTGTTAAAAATAAAAGTGCAGGAAAAAAAAATAAAATGAGAAAGGGTTCCAAACCAAAAACATTACACTAAAAATAAATTATTTTAAAATAACACGCCTGCAGAAATCCATCCAATAATGAATGAAAATAGCCATGTGTTCCACATTCTGGAATCAGCTGCTCAAAGCTGGATTTTCAATAACCTCTTTAGAGAAAGTACAGTAGCCAAAAGCATAATACATTTTAAAAAGAATGGAATAGATGCATTTAAGATAAGCACATCAGGAAAAAAAGTTCAGACCAATCCTGTTATGCACAAAGACATTATAAAAATATTACATTGGTATTGTAGTGGCAAATGTGCAGGATTGGCATTTAAACAACACCATTTTGAATGTTGGCCTTTCAACAAAGTTCCAAGTTTTCCCACTTCCAATGGAAATATTCCAAGAGTTTAGATGCTCCTGAACGGTTCTATTAAAAAAAACTGTTGCTCTTAGCAATAGAACTTTAATCCGTTTTTTTGTATAACATTGGCCAATAGATTTATGTCATGTATGGGGAGCAAATAGTCCCAAAAGTTCAAATACAATTTGATCATTCAAAACCTAAATCTATTTTAGACAGTGTACAGAGACAACTAACTCTGTTCAAACTCTGAATAACCGATCAAGATTAGGAATCTTCCTTCTCTGGTGAGTTTTAAAAAATGACAAAATAACAAAAAAAAAATCAGTTACCTTATTTGTTTAGTCTTTCTTTCTGAAAGAAGATGGTGGGACTTATCAGGTAGGTAAGAAAAAAAATCCCAATCCAGCAGATGGTTGGAAAATCAGAAGGAAATATTCATTTGGGGAAATGTGGACATAAATGCAAAGTAGAATCATATTTTTAATTTATCTTATTGTCTGATCTGAACAGTTTCTTTCTTTTCTTAGACTTATTTTGTTTTGTCACTAGCATGTGTATATGTATTTCGTCCTGGAAGATTATGAGTTAAAGCTTGCAGGAATGAGAATATTTTCTCCTATTTTCTTCAAATCTAAGCTGAGTTCTAAATTTAAAAAAACCCACTTTGTATTCAATTGGGAATTTAGCTTCCAATTTTTTAGTGTATTCAGGAATGACCCCATGATTCTGCTGCCATCTTGACTTTTTTGACTAAGCCTATAAATCCAGCCACTCTGCTAGCTATAAAATGGGAAGAAAACAGAGAGCAAGTTTCCACTCTTTTGTTACTGAACAGGGATTTTCTCTGTAAAAGAGTAGCAGCCCAGCTACAAGCTCTCCATGTGAGTGGGTGAGAGTACAAGAATAAGGATTATGGGGGACTCCCCTTAAGTCAGCTATCCATTACAATCTCGGGCATGCACTGCAACTGTGTCCTATATTCATGACCCAATATAAACATTTCATGGAAAGCAATGTGGTCAATTCAGATGTAATAAAGTCTCCTAAATTTTTATTATGGCGACCTCAGGATTTTAAAGCATGTAGCCTTAATTAAAAATTATTTTTCAATCTGTAGCATTTAGTGTTCTGAATATAAGCAATATTGAACTAAACCACAAAAATATGTTACCATTCAATTCTTATGCACATTTTTTTTATACTGCTGCATTATGTAACTTTAGGAGCAGCTACATATACAAGCAGAAAGTTAACACAAATGTAAATACTAATCACTAATATTCATTAGCCTTACAACAGTTGGGAGACAGGAAATATAACTGCACACATTCGGGATATGCTTATGAAGATCAATTTTATATTTTAGGAAGTATTTGTGTAGAATGTAAGCATCTTGTCAGTCACCTCTTACTCTCTGATCTTACAGATGTCATCCGTAAAACATTCAAGGTTTTGCTTCACTTCCATTTGTTTAGTTTGTACATCTTTAGCACTGAATAGCTATAGATAATCTTCGACTTAGAACCACAACTGAGCCCAAAATTTCAATTGTTAAGCAAGGCAAAAGTGAAGTGAGTTTTGCCCATTTTACGATGTTTTTTTGCTACAGTTGTTAAGCAAATCACTGCAGTTATTAAATGAATTATGCTGTTGATTCACTTAATGGGGCAAGTCCCACTTCCCCCGCTGACTTTGCTTGTTGGAAGTCAGCTGGGAAGGTTACAAATGTATCACATGATCCTAGGACTGTGCATGTCCTAAATACCTGCCAATTACCAAGTGCCCATATTTTGATCACATAGTTATGGGATCCTGCAATGGTCATAAGTATGAAAAACAGTTGTAAATATTTTTTTCACTGCCATTGTGACTTTGAGCAGTCACTAAACAAATGGTTGTAAGTTGAGGACTACCTGTATTACATGTGTTACAAACTTCTGTAACAGTCTACAGCAGGCATGTCAAACTGCCGGCCCGTGGGCCAGATGCATCATACTGAAACTGCGCCCACCCCATTGCTGGCAATGGGGGAAAAAATCACGATACGTCGCGCGATGTCATGTGATGTCGCGAGTTTGACATGCCTGGTCTACAGAATCACTGGATTTTGAGAGGCAAACTTTTCAGGACAAGTTATTGTTTGCACTGAGTCAGCTCAACTAATCTGAATGAGAAAAAGCAGGTTTTGCTCTAATCCCAAATATCATCAGTAGATTTCATTCAAAGGAAAATGCCAGTGTTACTGCAAAGAAGTAAGATACTAGCAATAGAATTACAAAACTCACATGAGTCAAAGCATTAAACCAAGTGATTAAAAATAATATTGTTTCTATGAGCCTAAAACAACACCAAGCACTTATTGACAATTGATGGGTGTCAGGAATTGATCAGCCAACTCCAGCTCCAGCTGATGGATAAATTATTCCTTTCTGAAATGAAAGCTCAAAACTCTTGGATTTTCAGGCAGTCTGTATACTTGTGTTTGAAAATTGCTGATATTGAAATACTTTCTTTGAGATGTAAAGCAAGACAGTTTGATTTATAATCTTTAGATATGAGGTCCTCTGTGGATAACTATTCATTATTCATCTCCCTTCTTCAACTGTTCACAAAATATGTCTATTGAAAAATGATTTGGTAAATCAGGGAGTACTATATATAATATATCACTATACAGTTAATGCTTATCTCCTCCAAAGAAAGGAGTTAGTTTCTTTCTCATTTACACGTGCATGATCCAGCTGTTAATACATAAGATAATTGTAATAAGAACAATATGATTATATAGAAGAATAAAAGTGCACATAGCCTGTGGAACCTGGTCCAGTTATTTGAAGCTAATCTTTGAAAAGGTTTGAGATGGGGGTTTGAGTATAGCCCTTTGCTGTACTCACAGAAAAATAAACTTCTTGGACAAAAAATTGAATCTCAGAATTAGCATGGACCTCACCTCTTGGTTGTATTGCCCTCAAGGACTGGGAACAATATAACTTGCAAGAAACCTACAAGAGGTGTGCTTGACTGGGGAAAACTGCATGTTTTCAATTACAGAAAACTTTATCATCATTAAGATTGGGGAGGTTGTCTCATGGAGATGGTATGCAAATTGAGAGTTAACTAAGCACTCCATGGTTCCCTAATTTCTTTATGCAGAAAAGCTCAACATGTGAAGAGTTGAATGAATTGCTTTTTGAGTATAATGTTGCTATTGCTATTGGAAATATTTAACTGGTCTACTGATTTGTCTTGTGATTATTTAAAATTGATACGCTTTTAACTGGACAGTAATTACATTAAAGTAATCTGTTTGATACATAGTGGTATTTGTACCTGAACAACCTTCAAACTCAATCTGTTTATGAAAAATGCAATACACAAATAAATTGATTTTGACACTAATTATATGAACCCAACCAAAAGGCTCCTAATCAAGGCACAGCTGTTAATAATTTGTTGTTATTATGGAATGAACATGATTCCAGAGTTGCAAATCAGCTTTACCAAATACAGAGCCTATTGAATTTTATCAATGACATGCATATAGTGCTTTAAGAGCCTGACATTGCTATGCTTCTTTGATGGATAATATAAGACACAACTTGGTACGGCTTCTTCCCATGAACCACTTGTGTTTTCTGAAGTGCCTTCCTCCATTCAGTTCCTGAAATTCACCTCCTGTTTTTATTTTCTGCCACAATCTGCAGTTCTGATGAGTTTTAACTGCTGTATATTGCTTCATGAAGCAATTTCCCTATGAACCCAACAGATGAGTTAAAGGCAGAAATATAATCATATGCCTGACTTAAAACCAAAGTTATGTATGTACATAGAATTACTACAATGATTTCCATAAAGTTTGACATGAAACAAGGAAAATACAACTCTTCATGATTATAAACTGTATATTCACAGATCAATTTTTGTTTTCTTAATATCTTAATATCTTACTCCCCAGAGTTTGCTGGAAACTGCTTGCTTGGAATTACTTGCTTGCTTGGAATTTTACTTGGAGTTGCTTGCTTGGAATTTTACAACTGTGAGTGAAAAGAAGGGGGGAGGGCAAAATCATATAACTAAAAATCATAAACAGCAGTGGTACATTCAGGGCAAGTGTGTCTGAAATTCCTTGTATCTAAGAATGTCTGGCTTAGTACAGTGCAACACTTGCTTTGCATCTGTTTTTCGCAGTACCCTCTTCAAACTTGGAAACTGTCCTATCTGTAAACAAATCACTAGTCTACAAGGACAGATTATCTATCTAGGGTCTGTAATCTGTGCTCTTCAGGCAGAAATTAGGTCTCCAGTTCAGCCCTTCTACTCTATTGAGCCTCCACGCTATCAGCCTCCTCTACCACAAAGATCCTGCAGGAGAAGGGCAGTGTGGACAACCGTGGGATCTGGCAGGGTGAGAGCTGTGAACCATAAACACAAAGCTTTCGCTGTGTCCCTGCACAACAGATACAACGCCCTTGCTGACCTTAATAGGGAAATTAAGGAGACAGGTAAAGGTATTTGTGATGATAACTCAAATAAGCAGGGGATCGTGGACCGAGATGAAGAACTTGTTTCCGACAGGGAGAAGTGCAAATCAGGTATTACACACCAGTC